AACCCCCACTTCCCCTCATCCAATTTATGAGTTTTTAGGGATTTAAAAATCGGGGACGAACCCCAGAAAATAATTTATAGTTTTCCCGAAGCATTGAGAACAACACCTTTCAAATGAACCAACGCCCCTCGCAATTAGTACAGTGGTTGATTCACAATTTCATTCTATTTTTCAAATTAAATATTAAGATAGCTTTCCTTCCCTGCAGGTTTCGATCTTTTATGGCTTGGTCCATCTTTCCATCGTGGGATACTCGAACTCCTAAATATTTGTAATGCTCGCAGCTTTTAATACACTGTCCATCTTCCAGCTCTATGTCTTGCTGATCCCCTCCAATCGTCAACTTTTCCGTTTTCTTGACACTGACCTCTAGGCCCCACCTTCGATATTCTAGCGATGGATATTGGACCATAACCACTTCTTTGGCATAACCTGCCAGAGGGCCTTGCCCTGTATGGTGGTTCATCATGTAGAGGTTCGCTTTGGTGCTGATAACTATGCTGAGAGCTTTGATTATAGCTTCTTGAGACACCGATTCTGGTGGGGCTGCCTCAGTTATTGTTGGATCCATTTGATCCCGAGAGATCCAATCCCCATCACTGCGGCCTCCAACGGTCTCTGCAAGTCCGGCTAAAACGATCCCTGCCGCTGCACTGCAGTATAAGTTTCGCACTTCGGGGGGATTACTGCTGAAAGTACTTGCGGCCCATGCTGCTGCACACCCGGCCGCACGGGAGATGGTCACGTTTCCTAAGACTGGCAACTTATGGTTATCTGGAACGACGGATCAACACCCATTGCTATACCGACTTCATAGGCGCCGTTGATGTTGGGTAAGTCAAAGATCGCGGTCATTGTGGCCAGCTTTAACTATCAAGTTGCCCGGAGGTTTGGGCTGCAAAGTTTTGAAGATAAAATAAAGTGTTTTGGATATTCAGCTAAATGTGGGACGGATATTAATTATTATATATACGGATATTATGATTTAGCGTATGTTGTACTGGACCAAAAAATTTCCTTTTCCACCGTTGGTTCTACATTACTCCTAATAAAACTCTCCACCGCATCCCGCAGCTCTGAGAATTTATTAACCGGGTTTTCCCCCTCCGCAAGAGGCCACTCTACATCCAAGTATGGCTTCACATTCCTGTCGTCGGTTATCACTTCGTACATGCAAGGACAATTTTTCTTAAATGCGCACGTTTTCGCCCTAAGAGAATTAAAGAAAAAATCAGGTGTAGAATACAGGTAGAAGGATCTTGAGTTCCCTTTAACCGGATGCGTTGGGTTCCTATTTTTCCTGGGAACTAATTCTTGTGCGGTCAGAAGGGAGTCTGGCGATGACACATAGTGAGGGAGTGCTGATGAAACTGTGAAGAACTTTCCGTACCTGTATGATAAACGAGAAAAAAGTGATAACGTATGAATGGCACGGTGGTTAAAGGTGGTGAAAGTAGTATTACAATTGCAATCACGACCAATGAAAGTTAGGAGTGGGGAAACATATGCAGGTATTATGTGTAATCAGCGGCTTGTTCATGAACAGGCAATACATCGTTCTTCTACATGCACACTGTTTGTTCTTAAACCAGCATCACGATGTTATTGAACAAGTACCCTTCCACATAATCACCTACAGGTTCATGGCCAAAAGGCAGCCAATCAGAGTTTTGTCTTCCGGATGTATTCTGAAGTTTAATTTTACAGTCCCTTGAAGAACCAATTCGCATAAGCTATGCAGAACCAATTTTATGCTGTATTTCCGGAACAACGCCTTCTCGGGCAACACACTTAAGCACCTGTTTTTCTTTTCAAAATCTGATTCTACGTATGTGTAAAATTTCGCAACTGCCAAGAGGCATGCACCTCTTCTGTCCTCAACCTCCCTAAAGTGGAGTAGCAAATTTTTCAGGGGCACGTGAAGTTGCAAATGTTCGCATTGCACGGCCCTGATGCAATTCGAACATTTACCGCACTTCCCAGGAGTAGCACTTCTTAACATTTCTTCATGGCTAAAAGACAGGCTCAACATAGCGAAAAATCGTTTTTTCCGGATCAAAATTGCCCGATTGGGCCGCTTTCGAGGGTAAAAAGAGGGGTTTTCGAAAACTGTCAACTAATTTGATCGCATAATCTCAAAGTACGTAGTAACTTGGACTACATCGCGGAGTTTTACTTGTTGAGGCATCGTTCATGATACTCAAAAGAGAAGGCCCAAACGTAAAGTGCCGCGGGAGTGAAACCTAACATAAAGGTCCTTAGGGGGCAAGGTCAAAACTCATTTCCCCCTCTCCCCCCCCCCCCCCAAAAAAAAAAAATCCTTTTGCCGTTCATTACTCACCAAATGACACCCATCGAAGGGTTCCGCCCGATGAAATTCGGAAAAGTCCAAAATAAGGGTCACCCTACCGCTACACGTATTGATGGACACATTAAACTTAAAAAACAGATGAGTTAAAAACAAATGTAAAATCTCTTCAGAAATAAATGTGTATGCAATCCCGCATACATTTGATGTACTGAAAATTAAATAACAAATTAAAATGAAGTTTTTTCAAGGAAATTTCCTCACAAATTGCACAACCATAAAATAAATACACAAACAACCAATTTAAAAACGGAATCACCTTATTTGAGGTTTAATGTGAATATAAATCAATAAAAAGTCGGTAACAATGTTACATTTCGTAGTTAAGAATATTGCCTTGAACTGTGAACTCAGTAGATTGTGGTGAACCTAGCATTACCAAAGTCGAATTAGATTCTGATCATTCTCCTATAAACATGGACATGTATAATTCAGAGATCTTGAAAAAGGTCACTTCCTCCATAAAAAATAAAAGAAACCGACTGTAAACATTCAAGGAATAATTGAATTCAATAGTATTTAGTTGAAAATCCTATTCAGACGCACGACAGGAAATCGAAAACGAAGTTGCATCTACTGAGCGGTGCATCACAGCAAGAAATAGGAATACTTCAAGGATTAAAAACGATAAATCAACGATGTAAATGAAAAAGCGGTAAATCTTTTAAGAGGGAAAAAACACCAAAAAATGTTACATTTTAAGGAACGACTGAAAGGAACTGCATTTTTAGGCCAAAATTGTGCCCAATAGTTTCAGAAATTATTACAGTCTCAAACTTTCAAAGTTGATGTCATTTTTTGTTTACGTTCCCCGTTAAGGTTTTCGATAGCTGTAATTGATCTTGAAAACTGTGTTCGTCCTTGGTTACTTTTCGGTAATAGGTCCCCATAGGGCATGATTATTCACAACGGATAAAGACTGTACTGTTTTACGAGCCTCAGTATAAACATCATTTCATTCCCAAGTGTTTGGATCTTCACTCAAGAACTGAGTAGGAATATCAAGAATTCGGAAAAATTTCATGCTAGTCGCGTTGTGAAGAAATCCTGGAAAGAAGTGCACTCCTCTGCTTCCATTTGGAGCCGACGCGGCGGATTAGGGAGCCCTTCGATGCTCTGCATATTTTGAACATACAATTTTTTTTTCGTCTGTCGAAATACGAGAATCGAAGAAGGAAAGTGGCACTAGTAGCTCACTGGACATAAGATGGATCTATTTAAACATCGCTTTCGCTGCATTGAGTTAAAATTGACGTTATATCATTAATGTCTAATCCAAGGGCATGAATGTAGTTGCAATATCGGTTGCAGCGGCATCTCTGGGGCTGGCTTCAAAAGCCGCCAAAAAACGTCATTATTTTTGCCAAAATACTAATTTTTTTAAGTGCGTGCTTTAAGGCGCTGGAGAGGCCGCTAAAAAAATGTCTCAAGTTTCAGAAATAAGGGACACACTACGGCCCGGGCCCCAGTACTCCCCCTCCCCCCGGCCCTAGTGCCAGGCCTGGGCAGGCTGCTATAACCGGTCGTGAAAATAATATTTCAATAAGTGTCTATCGTAATGAACTCCAGGGCTCGATATGAACCTCCGCGCTGAATTTTTTCTCACTCATTTTCTACATCACCGCTTACTTCGGCATGTGAGGCTCAAAGGATTCAACCAATCATTAATAAGAACGTAAGGCGCGGACCTTAAAATCGGCACCAGACCCGAGATGGGATGTTGTGGGCCTGCGCCTGCCTTTTATTCTTTAGGTTCTCAGGAGAGTTCTTTGTCCACACTCAAATTCTGTTTCTCCGGTCGTATTCGTCCAAAGCAGCTCCAGTGAAAATGTGCTCTCTTTCAAGTAATGGCCCTTTTTGTCGTGGACGGTCACATCTGGATTGCATTTTGCAACAAGGAACCGGTATTTCTGGCCCATTTTAGAAACATCATTCATGCCATTGGTTTCCCCATGCAGATATGTGCTTCTATGCACTGAGAAAAAATTATTATTACAATTACCATATTAGTGGTGTTCAATATGAACTCTTAATCAGTAGTTGCCATGACCAATAATAGAGATATTTTTACCATTAAATGGTAATTTTACTACCGTGCAATTGTAAAATTACGATTGCTCCAGTAAAAATATCACTATTATTGGTTATGGCCAATACTAACTAAGAGTGCATATTGAACACCACTAATATGGTAATTAAAACCATAGTTTTTTCTCAGTGTGGGAGAGCCAGAGGTAGTGGCTCATTACTGCGAAATGTAATCCATTTATCCTTCTCGGCAGGACTCTCAACTACCCTTTAAATAAAAAAGACTAACTCTCATAGTTCAACAGATATTTGAGCTTTCCATCGGATTACAATAGTAATTTTATCTTTCAATACTTTGTTCACAGGACTCGAACGAAGATGATTGGAGGCCTGTTTTCCACGACGTCGCTCCATCACCTCACAGCCCTCGGCGATACCCGTTATTTAGTCAAGTTTACACTGTTCCCTCTGCAGCATTGCGACCCGCTGCGACGAAGAAAGCCTATCTCCAGGTCCTTTCGAACGCCAACAAAGTCGAGTCGTACTCTCCGCCGAGCATCCTAGGGCCTTTGAGCGACTTCGGTCATTCTACGGTGAAAGCTAAAAGGCCCATCGTTCTAAACAAAACTAACGGTGCAAGTTTACCATCAGTCAATCAAAATATCTACGAACAAGCAATTTCAACTCAAAATCAACACCTCAAAGCACCCGTGAGGTACGAGAACCTGGGGTACTCTGCTGCCCTGCTACCTCCTCCGGTGCTGCCCTCTGCGACCCCGTATCGACCAGACTCGCAAGAAGCCGACACTCAAGAATCCGTAAATCAACAGTACCAGTCCTACAGAGATGCTGCATTCCTGCTGAAGACTGTAAGACCGCCTCCTCCGGTCGAGCACAGTTACAGATTCGGATCCGCGTCGTCAGGTGCGCAAAACTCATTCTTCTTCTCGAACAATGTTCCCCAGCAGTCGCAAGGGCTGAGTGCGTACCATATACCCTCCAAGGACAATCAAAAAAGCCAAGCAGCCAACTACAACAGCCCGTTCCTAATCGGCGGTCAGTCTCCTTACGGACCTCCGAGTCCGGTATACCCGGTTGTCGTCAGACCTGCCGTCTCGACGATCCATCATCAGAATCTAGGCGAACAGTACGTTATCCGGCCTCAGAGTCACGTCAAGAACACCGAGGAAGTGGTGCTCAAACGCCGCCCGGTTACTTTGTACAGTGGCGACGTGAACGGGAACAAGAACCTCTTGTCACCCGAGGTTCTCGGCAACGCGAAGCGGCCTGACAACACGGAGGCGCCCCTCACTCCAACCAAAAGCCCCGGCAAGCAGGTCTTCGATCAGCTGGCTCACTATGCCAGACCGTTCCAATCCAACAACCATCGCGAAAAAGACGAGCAGGGGAAGCCCTTTGCGTCAAGTCACCAGTTCAACGCTCCCAACGGGCAGAGACCCAATTGGGGGAACCCTAGCAAACAAAAGACAAAGGGGCAAGTCTTCGGACTGGGAACGATCGGGGCCAATTCCCAATCGCATACGTACGAGCCGGAAAAACCGTATGCCGCGCAGTCACAGGCTCCGTCCGTATATCCGGTTTCCGTGACCACAGTTGACGTTTCCGCGGGTTCCCCTGACCCCGTGACCTTCGTGCCATATACCGACTCGCAGAAAGACAGTTTCAGACCCAGTCATTACTACTACCAAAGCACCACTGTCCGCCCGCAGCCGTCGGACAACCACAACTACAACTTCAATAAAAATAACGTTTTTTCAACGTCCAGCTCCCATATCAACGTGGTCAGCGAGGAGGACGATTACCCGCCGGCTTTTCTGCCGACCCCGACGTCCGATCTCCGACCGTTCACATTCCACTCCGGGAACGGACAAGCCGTGTCCGGATACACTTTGGAGAGCTCGTTCCCCAAAGGCAAGCACAAGTACGCCCAGGAGCTGCAAGAGAACAACTCGCAGGTGGATGCGGTAACGAAAGTGCCGGAGTCTCACAGGCGCCGCAGACCAACAGCCGCTACCAAAGCCCCTCTGCAATACACCGAAGAGCAGTTCACTCCGCCAGCGACTGCGACGGATTACCCGCAGACCGATCAGCAAGACACAGAGGCTCCGACCGTCATCACGTACACGGAGCAAACGACCACCGCTCGATCTCGCAGACGCAAACCGACCCACAGGTACAAGGTCAAGCCGTCGCAGGAAGAAATTCCCTCCATCAATTTCAACCACGAGATCAGCAATAGTGATTTCAACGGGCAGAACATCTTCACACAGTTCGTAGACTACACGACCAATCCCCCAGACGTCAACAACAACCTCGGGAGTAAAAATCACGTGTCCCATAATAACGACAACGGCAATCAGAACTACCCGTCTGCGGACGGTGGCAACGCCGGTGGCGGATATGAAGACGGAGGCAATGACGAGGACGACGGTGCCAACTACCCGAATAACGTGAGGCAGAACGAGGTGGAGCCCTCGACCACGACGACAACGACGGCAGCCCCCACCGCTAACTCGAGGATCAGGAATCGGTTCAAGTTCGGAAACAACACGCGACCGAGGTTCAGCGTGAAGGACTACAAGGAGAAACTGAAAGTCTCGTCTACGTCGGCTCCGGAAACGAACGACCCTTCGGACGACATGAACGAGAGGAAAGAAATCCTGAAGACGAGATTCTCGACGAGGAACAAGCTTGCGAGTAAGCCGGACACGAGCTCGAAGAACGCTACCGACAGCGACACGAAGGCAGACTCTCCGTCGAAGAAGTATAAACCCAGAACGAGGCCGAATCGCTTCAGAACGACCTCGACGCAGTCCGCTCTCGAGGCGTTGACGACGACCACCACGACGGAGCGGCCAGCGTTTAAACCTAGCAGCACGCCCAGTCGATACAAAAATGGTGTCAGTAAGTACTACAGTAGGTACAGAACGTCAACCGAAGCTCCCTCCTCCAATGGCAGTTCGGACACCCAGCCGGCGGCCTCAACCAAAAGCCCTGTCAAACTGAAGGGAGTGTTTTCGGCCAAGAGGCGTCCGTTCCCGGTGAAAGGAGGCACCGCCAATACGGAGGACTTAAAGACTGATGAGAGTGAATCGGACGTCACGCGAGGAGACAATATCCCCGGGGTGGAAAATGAAATCAACCCGCAGGCTACGAAGAAAGCGGATAATTTCGTGGTTTCTTCTCACAATTTGAGAGGTGAAGAGAGTTTTATCAATCCTGAGGTTGCGACTAAGCCGTTGGATGATGTATCGATGGAGTACGACGACGAGGAAGAGGAAAACAACGCGGCAGCGACCAAAGTGGCGGATCTGACGTCTTCATCTTCGAATCTTCAAAAACAACCGATCCAAAATGAAGTCTCCGCGACAAGCAACAACCGGCGGACGGTTCCCCGAATCACCATAGCGACCGATGATCCAATTCTCCCCATCGAAGCTTTCTTCCAATCTAGTAGACCAAATAAACATGACCGTCAACACAGATAGTACGGCGGTTTCCGTGTCGATATATTTCATTAATTTTCATTCGGCGTAATTTTCTTCTTGTGAAACCTTACACTGGGGAGAGAAACACATTGGATCTAGAGTCCAGACTCTTAAAAACACCGAAAAATAAAAGTACTCTTGATTCAATCAGAATCCAGCTTAAATCCAAAAACCAAGTCTCCTAATTTTAGTGGATTTCCTTTTGATTCTAGCAAAAATCCGATTGAATCAAGAGTGTTTTTTCTTGTCAATGTTTTCAAGAGTTTGGACTCTATATCCAATGTGGTTTTTTTGCCAGTGTAATGAGGTGAAACTTTGAGGGAGCGAGGGGTACAGCAATCTCGGTGGCCAAAAATTGGTTGAACTTGGATTTAGACTTAGAGTCCACGCCAAATTAGTTTATGCACCTCTAAACTGCGACCGAAGATTCGCCTTCTTGATGGCGAAATCACTACTTCATTTCATAATAATTTCATTAACTTTCAATGCTCTCCTGATCCTTTGTCGCAGTTTAGAAGTGCGTAAACTGGCGTGGACTCCAATTTGACTTAGATTCCAGGAGTCACCAAGTTGTTTATACCGGGTTTTGGCCTAAAAATAGGACTATTCCAGGGATAGCATGACAACGTGTCTATATTCTGGGCTTAGGACCCCGCTTTAGTCTTCGTTTCATATTAATCGTCTAAAGCCAAAAGTTCCTTAGGTTTCTAAATTAGTGAATGTTCTATTTTTCGTTCCAAGAATTTCCCTCATGAACGGAGAGCCGCAGTATTTTATCATGATAGAAATCTGATGAAAATTCAAATCCAAAGAAAATTAAAACGAATTAATTCATCGGTTAGTAAAGTACCTGAATATCGGGTGTGGTATTGAGGTTACACATGTTGAGGCAACTTCCATGAATGCTGTTTTGGTGTTGCTCAGTAATCGTTATGCGGGTGCTTTTTTTACACTCAACAAAAATAAGAGCTTTTAATGTGCAGTGAAGCCCTTGCGCATCCATGAAACTAGTTTCCTGGGTTTTTTTGTAATTCCACCCTCTTACTAAGACAGTCATCCTTGAGAAGTGAGAAAATTCTAAGGGAACTCTTCAGACTTCTCAATGCATTTTTGCCACACTCTCCATCAAAAAAGATGTGATCAGCGGAATTAGATGGAAATGAATTGCCTGCATGAGTTTAGTGTCGTTCCTCCGGGGAAAACATGCGAATATCATTAGTGCTTACATGTAGTTTGATTGGTATTTGTCAACCTTGAAGTTTCGAGAAACACCTGTATTTCATTATTATACAAAGAAGCTCTTGCATCATTCTCACTTGAAGATTCCTTGCGCAACGGAATAAAATTGATCAGCAGTGTTTCAATCGGAAGTCCCGTATCGGGTCTGATGGTAAAAGTATCATGTGCAAAGCCCCTTTGAAGACTAAAATTTAAAATACACATTTAAAGTATTGACTCCTGTAAGTAATAACATCGGAGGATTGTCATAAGCAACTATGAATTAGAAGAATTCTGCACTGAACGAGCTTATCATATTATGAACGTAATGGGTCTAATATTATTTGGTCCTTAATCTGATTCAGTTTGGGTTTTAAAAATATTTTCCCAGTTTACGAAGTATCTCTTAAATACTCCCGTGTCCATGGCGCGGCACCGTGTTGTCATCAAGAGATTTCAGAATTTCATCATCTGAAATGACAAAATTGTCCTTGTCCTGGCCAGTAGTAGTATTTTACACTGTGTATTGTCTTCATTTTTTTTCGACTGTGTATTATATTATCAAAATTCAGACACGAAATACTGGAAGGTAATTGTTGTCGCTAACGACGATTCCACTCTAGGTTACTTTAGGTTATGGTTGTAAATATGTTTTTACGGATTTAAAATCCTGATTTTTCCAAAACAGAATGTCAAATATTTTCCTGTAGATATTATTTATTTATTGATGTACCTATTGTAATAAATACCAAACCCTAATTTGTTGTTCATTTTTAAAGTCTTAGGCGCGACTCGTACCAAATTATCGGAACCGAAAGAATATGATCCCGTCTGCATAGCGTTCAAAATAAAAATGATACTGCAGTATTTTAACTATACCCTACAAACTACAAGAAATTGTTCACTAACAATCGTCATGATCTTCATTAATGCCCGATGTCAATCTGAGCTCAGTACCCGAACGTTTTCCAGAATACAATTAAATGCCACGATACATTTCGGATATTAGGTTTTGAAAGAGCGCATATTGCATCTATTAAAACTTAATGGGAAGCGAGTAAGGTAGGCCAAGTAGATGCATAAATTACATTTTATTCAACCAGATGCATTTCGGCCCATGGGGCCATCTTCAGTCGTATACATATGAAAGCGCAGCATACAAGCAAATATGCATGCAAAATCGAAAAGCATGCAATTGAGAATGAAACTACGGGCACTAACTACCTCATAGGTGGCACAGGTGGAAAGTGAAAAGTCGGATATTGTTAGGAGACAAACAAAAAACTATTCTACTCTCAGACTTTGCTTAAAATTTAAAAAAAAAAAATAAATAAATAACAATAAAGCTAGCTCCAAGCTGGCATTGGTTTCCGTTTTTCTCCTCCATCCATCCGTATTCTTAAAGGCGAGGGATTTCCTCCTACGGGGACAAGGCGCGCCCCCGAACCTGTCCTGCTTGGTAAGCAGGGCAAAGGGTGTGCTGCTCCAATGCACCTTTCGTGGGGGGTAAATCACGGAGCGCCCCATTTTTGGTGGTGATAAGCAATTTCCTCAGCAGATGCAGGGGAATATGGGCTGCTTTTTTGTAGTCGACAAGCAGCAAGCAGCTGGGGAGCTGCTTGCTGTTTTGTGCTTTTGTGTAGCGGGGTCAATTCGACAAACACGTGGCGCAACGGAGATGTCGGCTCTCTCCGTGGCGCCGCGCATGCGTTCCCAACTCAACCCTTCCACCACGGATGATCCGCGGGGTGTTGGTTCTTGACATGCATCGTCACCCCCAGTGTCACGCCGGGGGGGGGGGGTGCCGGAACGTCTCTTGGCGCGGGAACCATTCGCGGTGCAGGGTAATTTTGGATGGCCCATTCTTTAACCTCGCGTTCTGTAATCAACACGTCGCCACCTGTGGCAGCGACTGGTTGACACAGAGCTCTGATACACCTTATAGGGGTAGCTCCCCCGTCGATAAACCGCATGCGACGAGAGGGCTCCTTAAATTTGGAGCACAACGGTAGCCGGAAGTTCTGTCTGCTTTTATAAACGGAAATGTCCAGCACACATTTATTTCTAGGAAAGAATTCAGTATTGGCCTCCGGGTCGGCTGCAGTCCTGCGTGATTCCAAGAAATGAAAAACATCGTTACACATTTTCTCAGTGCAGCCATACTCACAAAGTAAGTTTTCTGCAAGGAAATTACGTGAAACGAAATCTTTTCGTCTCTCGAAATTACGCAGGAGTTAGGGAGTGCATTATGCGATTCCAAATACTCCATTTCTTTCTCCCCGTGGACAAGCCAGACGCACGATTTCTCAATAAATGTGTTCCACGCATGTACCAACCGCAACACCATTGCAAAGGCAGCCACCTTGAATGTTATTTCAGGGGCAAGCCACTCTATGTCAAAGTAGAGTTTGACCGGCTTAACATCTGACGATATACACTCGTAATAGGAGTAGGATTTGTTTTCCATGACTCCGTTGATAATTTCTGAAAAAAAACTGCACCTTCTGCTCGACAACAAGGTAAACTCGCTTCCTTTCGCTAATTTCTTTAGCGTATAGCAAACACGCCCGCCGCCGGGCCGGGGGGGTCAACCTTATCACCTCGGCTTCTGCTATAGTTAATTTCTCGTAGGCGTGGTTAAATGCGGAACGCGCTAATGTGGGGGAGCGGCGGACGTCTGCAATGCGCGTGGGCGTTCTCAAAGTAGATGGTGGCACGGCGGGAAAGATGGCTCTTCAAGCAGGCCTGAAATATCACAAGGGCGTGTCGTGAATAAAAACATCTACATCATTGTAACATACGGGGGTTATAATTTTACTAGCAAGAAAAATGTAGAGCCATCGTAATACTAATTAGCACCGTACCCGGTGTTGATCATCATCCATACGGGGATTATCATTTTCCTTGCAAGAAAAATGTAGAGCCGTCGTAATACTAATTAGCACCGTACTCGGTGTTGATCATCATCCAGGCACCCGCACCTTACAATCGCTTCGATGGGAAACCCGCGTCGAAAACCAAATCAACAAGTGAACGATTATTTCGGAATAAGAAGCGAGAAAGATTCCCANCCCCCCCCCACGCGACAAATATTGCCATCTTTCGTATAAAAATGCCCCATTGAAGTGACGTAACTATTACATTTTACGATGGCCGCTCAACGTTTTCGCAATATTGAATGGTGGCGGTACCGTTGCTGATCAGCATCTAGGCAACTGCACTTTGATAATGCCTTTGATAACGGAATCAGTAGGCCGACAACCGGGAATTTTGTTGCAAAGCTGTGAGACAGATATTCTCTGGCCAAGCAAATGTTGTCATGGGACATCTCCAGTTGCTCCATTGCAGTGTCAAAAAACGATACCGGTACGATAAAAACTCGTTGGTTGTCAAGGAGGAGGGCGGCGACAATGCCGGTGCTGATCAGCACTCGGGCAGCCGCACATTTGCCTTGCCCCTGTTGAAAATTCACGTCGGGGCCAATTTAAGAAAAGGATATCCTCCCCGTCTTCTGGGACAACCGGGGGTCCATTATACGTTGGAAGTAAGAATATTTAAGGCATATCTGCTTACGGAGAAATGAGCGTCATTACCCAATTTCTTTACTTCAACAGAGAACCCTACCCGCCGCAGCAAAATCAAAGTGCTTATAAGTATGAGACAATATTGGACAGTTTTACCCTTTAACGCACCCTTTAACGTATGTATCCGTTATCGACCGATCAATTATCCCTGCGAGGATTTTAGCTAACAAAAGGAGAGAGCTGAAATGAGGGGCCGGGTGTTTCTGCGTCTCCTCGATAAGTTTGAAGACAAAACCCTCATCCGCGAAAGGAAATTCCTCTCGATGAGTAAAATTCTCTTTACACGCTAGACAATTATAACACCGCGACCTTACAAAGTCGTCAACGTTTACACTTTCGCGGTCTCGAGTGAAATACGAATATATGAGATAATGACAGCATCCATAATTCTGGTTCCAAAACCCAAAATTTAGGACAGCGTCATTGTTCGATATGACGGATTTCAATCGCTTCAGCTTCAACGTACAAGTGAGACTGAAATAATCGTGTGTACCACTCGTTATCAAAATAGCATCTCCCCCTGCCATTCGTGGATCTCTACCGCACCTCCCTATATTTCTTGGACGTATTCCACAAAAGACGCCGCACTATTATATCCGATGTGGATAACGTAAGAAAGTCTCCCGTTGTTGATCCCGAGACTTAAAGCTGACGTACTTATTATCAAAGGGGTGAGCCCCTCATTCCAGGAAAGAACTCTCGCTGCCTTCTCGTCTGGAGATAAGTGGGCGTGGTAATAAGTACACAGAATACCTCTACGCCTTAATTCGTCGCATAAACGCTCAACGCCTTCTCTGTTATTGATGAATATGATCCCCACTCTGTCACTTAATTCCTTCCGTAGGAAATTGCGGATCAAGTATCGAGCGAGACTGCTAGGCATATGCTTAATGCACGTAATCCCCGTGGGGGTGAGGGTACTGGGGTTAGACTGGGGTGTTTGTGTTTAACGCCGCTGTTGCCTCGGGAAAGTGTTTCCATGTGCTCCATGCACTTGGTTTTCCTCGTAAAGAAAACGAGGAGGTGAGATCACATCCGGTATATGCGTGGAAACCTCGTAAGGCTTCCGCCATTTCAGCTCCGATGCTTAAAAGAATGAGGTTGATGGAAATAAATCGCTGTTGTGCCCCGTTGCCCAACTGTATGCATATCTCTCCCAGGACCTTTGAGTTAAGGCGAACAGCAAAATAAATTGCAAGTACAACAATATCTGTGTCAGCGGTTGAACTTATGACTTTCTTTGAGCCAAATTAGGCACAATCTTGAGCATGAAGGAATATACGACTGTCAGCCTCTTCCTCCATTCTGCATTTTATCCCTTGCATCAATGTCTGATCAAGCCAAATTGGGCACAATCTTGAGCATGAAGGAATATACGACTGTCAGCCTCTTCCTCCATTCTGCATTTTATCCCTTGCATCAATGTCTGATCAGGATGGTAAGAGATTATTTTTGAATCTACCTCTGTTGTTACAATAACATCAGGGAATTTGTGAAAGCTATGAGCGTCTCAGCAGAGGAAGTTCTGCCAATTTTACGGAACTTATTCACATGGACACTATCCGGCGAACGCCATCTCCTCTTTTCTCTCGTAAATATTTCTTAAGACTCGTTGAAGAATACGTTTCCCAGGAGATGTGAATTCTCTTCGACTTAATGTAACTTATAATTCTCTTTGTTTTTAAATTCAAAGTTCAAGTATTCTCCAACATTCTGTGTTGACCTGGGAAAAATTGAACGATCAAGCGCAGCGCCATCATTGATCGGCATCTGCGTTCTCCTCAAAAGCTGGTTGTTCTGCCGATTCTTCCAAAATAGCTGCGCTTTGGCGCTAGGCCTCAATGCAACATTTGAAGAAAGAGAAGGCGGTGCACTTGTATTTTCAAATTCGAAAAATACATCTAAATTCAATTCTCTGTTCTGGCTAACTATGAACGCCCTGGAGAGAAGTTCGACGTCGTTCTTCAAATCTCCCATAATAGCTGGTGCTCTTTTTGTTGGAGTGAAACCGAATATTTTGGCTTCGTTTTTCTTAAGCGTATGATAGATGTTATTTTATGCTTCCTCACTGGACACTCCCATGTAAATCTCTTATATAGATCTGAGGCCGTTTTCTCAGCTTTGCTCAAGGTCTCTATTCGAGCTTTATCCATCACAACTTTGGATTCCCAAACC